TCGGCCTCCAGGAGACCTATAACCCCGGGACAGAGAAAGCGCCTGGGAGCGGAGAGCCGCTCGGCCAAAGGGCTTCCTCTTCCCCGGCACGGATGCTTCACTCCGCACCCCTACTTCTCCCCCTCTCGCTGCTCTTGAGATTGAAAGGCTGTCGCTGCAGCACAAGGCAGAGTCCAGAGGGGGGAGGCCAGGCACCACTCACCTCCCACATACAGGCTGGCTGTGTTGCTCTTGAACTCCACAAACTTCACCGACCTCTTCCTTCTCAGAGGGGGGCCCGCCGATGGCCCCAGTGAGCTCCAGTCCTCTGCAGACTGGGGAGAAGCAGCAGCAGCCGCCGCGGCTCTCTGCATCTGACCATCCGGCACCTGGCTCAAAGGAGATTTTCCCCAACACACATTTAATTCCTGAACCTCTTTCCAAGCTCTGCTGCTACGAGCAGCAAATGCCTGAAGGCTTTTGTGTGGGACCCTCTGAGGACTCACCCAAAGGCAGGATTGAGGAGCACCCCACAGTCCCATGTCTCGGCAGCACCGTTTTCAGCAGCCGGGTCTCCCCTAAGAGCCGGCCTGGGGCACAGACCTTAAGTTTGCCCTACATCGTTTTCTTTCCTGCCGAGATCTTGGGAGAAGCCCTGATTAGGAAGGGAGGTGCTGGGACTGCTCACAAAGAAGGGGCCCCCATGGGCTGCTTCCTGCGACAATCCATCCTGGCTTGGTGTGAAGCTGGATCCACAAGAACAAGGAACACCCAGCATTACTCAGCGAAAGCAAAGAAACGCGCGACCCACTGCTTTCAGACCAACTGCCTGCTCTGCTCTCTGGTTCCTTCCCTGACCGAGCCAAAGAATGAAATAATGCGGAGAGGAACGAAGACCAAAGGAGGACAAACAAGAAACAAGAGCCAGAAATAACGTACGGGGCTCCTTTTTCAAGTTCTCCAGACGGATCTGCCTCCTTCTCCGCTGCACCCAGTAAAGAAAATAAGAGAAGAAAGATTTGAAGAAAAGAAACAGAATCTGTAAAGGAAAGAAAGTCGGTGAAGAAAGAGAGGTGGGGAGAAGGGGGGAAAGGCAGCAAACCTCCCAAAGCAGAGAGAGAAAGGCTCCAAAATGCAATTGGCCCAAGCACGGGAGGAAAGCTGGCCCGAGGGGCCCGAGAAGGCAGTCTGCCCACCAAAGGCTGAGAGTCTTGGGATTCCCTGCTTCTCTATCTAACCAGCAGCAGATGGAACTTGTGGTGGATTCCTCCTCCTGCCAGCCTTGCACTTATTGATGTATTTCCCAAGCTGCAGTCAGCTGGACGCTTTTGCCTGACATAATGCTAGGATTTTAACCGCTCCGGGATAGCACATTTTGCCATCCACTGTTTACTGCACCTTATTCATGCGAGCGTCCTTCTGAGAATTTGATCTCAAGAGAAACCGATGAACACCTCAAGTCATTGTAAAAAGAAACCCGCTCTGCTAATGCCAGGGCGGCAAACAGCATCCCGCCGGCCCTCATCCCTTGTCTGGTCCTTCCAGATCTCTCAAGGAGCAGGTTCTTGGCTTGGCCTCCTTCACTGACCTGAGTGTCTGCTCTGTTTGGCTGCTCTGCCCGGTCAGGCATCCGACACCTCGCGAGCCCCAGCCCTGAAAGAAGGCCAGAAGAGGCGCATCAGCCTTTTCTTTCTCTAGCCAGGCTTTTGGGAACAGGGGAGCCGTGGAACTGTGATATCCACACCTCCAAAGGGAAGCTTCAGCCGGCTTGAGGCTCTTCTGGGGCCTTTCTCCTTCACAGGGACCTAAAGAAAGACGGGACAATGGAACTGTCAGGCACGGAGGCAGGTGCCGAGACTCCAGAACCTCCCAGCAAGGAAGGAGAGAAAAGGGGGGACGTCACTGTTCTGTTCCGCTGAGTATGAGAAGCAAACCAGTTCCCACTTTTCTGAGGCAGCTTTTTTCACCTTGCAAGGACGAGTAGCCCAGCCAGAGAAGCCAACCAAGAAATCCTGGACATCACGTGCAGTATCGTTCCCCCCCACTGGAAAATCAGGCAGAGAAGTCGAGACGTTTTCTCTTCCACCACCTTAATCCCATCTCGGTGGTGTGGTGGTTGGGTGTGTGAGTTTTTGGTGGCATAGAAAAGCAGCGCAAGACACAGAACAGTAGGATGGGAGATGCAGGAGGCAGAGAGGAAAGGCGCCCATAGGTAGGCCCCAGCTTACCTTCGTTCCGAATGTGTGTCGACTGGGCACCTTCTGCATGGTCAAGGAGGGGAAGAACTTCTCCTTGCTCTCTGGCGTGGGGCTTCCACCCTCCAGAGTTTGGGCCCCTTCCTTGGAGAGAGGCGTCACCGGCGCCAGGTGCAGCTGGCACGGGGAGGGCGGCCCCTGCCTCACTGAGTTCTCCTTGGAATGCCCGTCTTTGCCTCCAGGACTGCACAGAGCATAAGACAAACAAACAAACAAAAAACAACAACATTAGGTCTCTCGTTGCTTCATGCAAAACACAGCCAACCCCACCTGCCCAGGAGAAGGGGGTGCTTTACCCCCCACGCCTCCCACTTTTTTTATCAGAATTTGGCAGATCACGACAAAGCCCTGGGAAACTGGGACACACATATCCTAAGCCAGCGGCTTCCTGAGTCTTCTCTTGGCTCCCTGAAGGTGCCACTGGTCTTGGGGGCCTTCTCCTTATCGAGCATCCTTGGCAGGACTTCCCCTTCATCCATTTACAAACCCAGGAGATTTGCCAAGAGCGACTTACTTTGATTTATTGACAGGAGACTGTTGCCTCTTCTTCAGATGAAGGAGATAGGGCTGACCCCCTGTAGGGACTTTGTTTGACTTCCTGGTTTTCTGTGGAATGAGATCATCCCGGTCGATCAAGAGACAGGGAGCCTGAAATCCCCTCCCAGGCTGTGATCCCAACTATTTCTGTCCCTCCTGCAAAAAAGAGGTCTCTGGCATCAGGACCCCAGGAGCGAGGGGCACCCAAGGAAGAACCTCTTTGCCCTCTGCCTTGCTCAGCCTTGTTCCTTCATTCCGGAACCGTGTTCAGCTCACCAGAAACCCTCCCTTCCAGGAGGCACCTGTCAGCAATTTGCTCAGTGGCCTCCTGGAAGGCTTTTTCCAGGCCTGGGAAATCTTCTCGGTTTCTGTCCTTCAGACAAATGTTAAGGACAGAAACACAGAGCAAGTGAGACAAACAACGAAAGCCCGCAGCAACACAACTGGATGGTAGCCTCTGGAATAACCTTCCTCCGGAGATTTGTGCAGCCCCTTCGCTGGGCATCTTTAAAAACCAACTGAAAACTTAGATGTTTAGGCAGGCCTTCCCTCCAGTCAAAACTTGATTTTTTCTTCTTCCCCTTTTTTCCTTATTTTTCCATCTTGAACAACTTGTTTATTGATGTTTAAAATCTTGTTTTATTTTTAAATTGTTACTACAGTATATATGTTGGAAGCCGCCCAGAGTGGTCGATTGACTAGATGGGCGGGGTATAAATGGAATGAATGAATGAATGAATGAATGAATGAATGAATGAATGAATGAATGAATGAATGAATGAATGAATGAATGAATGAATGAATGAATGAATGAATGAATGAATGAATGAATGAATGAATGAATAGCTTCCCATCCACCAGCAGCAGAATTTGGGCCTGGCAAGGAATCAGACTCACCACCTTCTGGTTGTCCTTGCAAGACAGGATGCCTTCCAAAGCCAGCTCCTTCACGCACATCCTCTGAGTGGACATCGCTCTAAACAAAGGAATGGGGCCTCTGGCATGGACGTCAAAGGCAGAACGCAGGGGAAGGGGCAACGGAAAGCCACGGGAGAACACTCTCTCACCCTTCTCCAGCAACCTGTGACCGCTGCTGAATACCTCAGAGTACAGGGAAGTAAGGGCAGCGTCGGAAACGTCCCTGCCAAGCTCCCTTTCCGGTTGCCTGGATCCCCTGCCAGCCAAGGCTCCTCTTCCCCAGTTCCTGGACTGCCCACCTGCCCATACTTACAACCCTTACATCCACCCTTAGTATTTTAGGAAGACTTTGAGAAGCAACCAGTGCTCGTGTTGAGCTGAAAAGGCACCCAACACGAATTCAATAAAATAAGCAAACCCAGCCATTCTTTTCAGAAGTGACAAAGTTCTGCTTTCAGGGACGGACTGACCAGAGTCGGCTACAACATGCCTCTTGCTGGTCATGAAAAGCATCAGCCCCTCTCAAGGCTGCGGCGTTCTCGGAGACGGCCCATCGGGAGAGGGAGCTGCTTCAGGCTCGCCCTGGGCGGGCGGGTCAGGCCGGGCGGGCCTGCAACTCACGCTCTGGAGGTCAGCTTCTCGGGCTCCAAATGCCGATGCCTCATATTTGGGATCCACCTGAAGACTACGTTTCCATAGGCAGGCAGGAAATCCATCTGGTGTGCAGCAAATTCACCAAGATCTGCCACCTGTATCTAAATGGTAGGAAATCAGGCAATCAGGGGGGAAAAAACCCCTCTAGCTACATCCAAAGAGTTTGTAACGGTCACAGAACAGAAGCGAGTACTCATGGTTACGTGTTGGATCCCTGATGATGATGAGTGCTCTCTCACCTGGCTTTGTGAAGCTCAGGAGTATTATCTGAATTTTCCAGACATCAGTCATAGCCTTTCATAACACTGCAAATGATGAAAAGCAAACCTGTTCCCTATCTCTAAATTATACACAGCTCTTTAGAGTCCAAGGCAGAGGCTTAAGAACTTTACATTTCTTGTCCCTAAGCATTTATGGTGTGTGTGGGAAAGGGTAATCGTATAAATGACGCCGACCACAAGATCGTTACTATAGCCGTTTTCATCGAAGGGGAACAAAGACAGGCAGTAAATGAAGGGGAAAAAACATGGTTTCTCAATAAGTTGATAAAACGATCACACTGCCAAAACAGTAAGGTAAGAAAGCAAAAGATGGGACTGATCCGATTAAGGTCCAAATCGAGTCCGAAAGCGACTCGAAAATTAGAAACACTGAAAGCACACAAAACGAAAGAGGAAAGATGAAGGACCGGTAAGAGAAAGAGATTTGATGAATGGGACTTGCTTCTGAGTAAACACACTGCTAAATTTTGCCTATAGGGGATGAGCTGTGCTGGTACTGCAATGGAGAATAACACGGGGTGAAGTGATCTGGGGAGGGAATACAGCAACTTAACCTCCAAGTGCAGCGACACCCACAGGCGGCAACTGGTCCTGGGGATGAGAAGTTCTCTTTCTGACAGCATTCCAGAGAATACTCCAGTTACAATCCAGAAGCAGGATCCTAGGCTTTTTGAGTTTCTCTGACACTTGAAACCAATGAATTAATGTCAGCGACGTGAGGCCAAGCACAGAACAGGCAGGAGGGCTGAGGGTGCTGACTCCAAGAGAGGCCCAGAGAGAGAAAACAATAAATCGGGCCTTCTTGGTGGTTACTCCTTGGCTATGGAACCAACTACTAGCCCCTTCGCTAGGGATTTTTTTAAGAAACAACAGAAAACCTGGCGGTTCCGGCAGGCCTTTCAAACCATGTCCTCAACAGAGCCCACTGAATTTGATGCCAATAGCCAATGTAATCGATTACTGCCACCCTAAATGTCTAGGTGTTTTAGAATATATTTTGGGGCTTTTTAAGTGTCTTTTATATTGTTTGAAATGTTATATTTTATTTTATAATTGAGCTGTTTTATGTCATTTTTGTGTCATTTTTTGCTGTGGTGGCGGCGGCCGCAGGCTGGATGGGCAGTATATAAGTTGAACCAAGGAAGGAAGGGAAGGACGGAAGGGGCACAGCATCACTGATCCTTCTGAGATGATCCAGTGCCCCGTCTGTCATTCCCTTAATCCTTTCAGCTGCGTCCCTGAATTTGAGGAGCTCACTTACTTTCTCAGCTGGTCTCCAGGAGCTGAAGTTTACTGATGCAAAGTGGGGAGTGTGAGACTCCATCCTGGAGTTCAGCCCTGGGAAAGAGTTCTTTTCAGAACTACAAAGGGAAAAAAGAAAAAAGTTGGAAAAAGCATCCGAGCGTAGGGCCATTATAAATAAATAAATAAAAGCTGCACGAAAGAAGCCCTATGTGTTTAGCCAGCTCCGGACAATTTCCAAGAAAAGCTCCTAGGGTCATGACAAGTAAGTGAATGCGAGCACATGCTTTTACAGGTTCTGAATCTTCTATTTCGGGCAGCAACATCTATTAGGAGGGACTTGCAAATTGGAGTTAGATTGGTTCAGAAGCATATCATGTAACGACACAAGCCCTGCCATTTTTAAAAGATGATTATGCTGACCTCAGCACTGAGGTGAGAGGGATCAACGCTTCATTCAAGGTAGAGTTTGAAAGAATACGCCTGGCCTCTCTGATGCCGGAGATGGTCTTGGAGAGGGATGCCAAACTTTTGTTGCATTTGATTCTCTCTCTTTGGGAATAATTGAGGGGAAGGTCAACAATCTTCAGTGTTGGCAATTCCTCTGAAACACAGACACTGCTATGAGAACACTACAGAGAAGGAGGCACCCCTCTTACTCCTGTTTCAAGCATCGCTACCAAAGCAATAAAACAGCATTTATGTACAGATACCACAGCAAAACAAAAAATATCAAAGCAGTAGCCAAGTTAGTCTATGTAAGCACAGCTAGACAAAACCAAAACAAAAATTTTTAAAAAAAACACCCTTATGTTTCTTTTTTCATATTGTTTTGGTTTTGTCTGGCAAAGCAAAAATGTGTTTCTACTTTTTTCTTAATTCTTCAGAGATTTCAAGGCAAGCTGTTTAATGTATATATTAAACATTCTAACTACATAGAGAAGTATAAATGGAGAAAGCTGTTTAAAATACACAGATATATACTGTAAGAGAAATTTCTCTCTTGTGTCCCCAAGAACAGCCAAACCTAGAAATGTGCCTTGTAGTCAAAAGCTTCCTCCTCAAACACAAACAGCTGGAAACATTCTTAGGTTAAACACAAAACAAGAAGCAGTAAACTGGCAGGAAACTAAGGGAACTAGCGGACAGGGCGACCTGTATCACAGGAGTGTCATCGCGAGGAAGTGTAATGACCAGATATGCTACTCTGCCCTCTTCAGAAGAAAGAGGGGATAAGGCTTACCTCTTCTTATCTATGCAGGATGTTCAGTTACCACTGAAGCCCAGGAAGGCAAGATCTTGCGTTTCCTGTTTCCTACCGTTAGCAATACACATGGATGTGTAATTGGCAAACCCATCCGTCCACCACCTTCAGGGGGGCTGGCAAACACATCTGAGTTCTCTGTTGCTCCCTTTGGCACATGCGAGTTTCCACACATAACTTTAGTAAGCCACTGCTAGAAGAACTCTCCCCCACCTACTCCCCAATACAATCTAGGAGTGCAGAGGGTGTTCAGTTCAGCAGGACAAGGAGGTATCTGCACAGTTCCTCCTGCAGGCAGCTGTTTAAAGGGAATTAAGATTGTATTCATGAAGGAATTAAGATTCATAATATTGGGCACTTGCATTTTACGTATTTACCAATCTGCCTCTTTTACATTTCTGGCCCTTTTGGCTCCAACAAAGAAGCCAAAGAAGCACCTTCCTCTAGGCTGGATCTAAGAGCAGTTCAGCAGGACAAGGAGGTATCTGCACAGTTCCTCCTGCAGGCAGCTGTTTAAAGGGAATTAAGAATGTATTCACGAAGGAATTATGATTCATCATAATGGGCACTTGCATTTTATTTACCAAACTGCCTTCCTCTTTTACATTTCTGGCCCTTTAGACTCCAACAAAGAAGCCAAAGAAGCACTTTCCTCTAGGCTGGATCTAAGACTGGGATAAATAGCCACCTCTAGGGAAGGACTACAAAAATTTGGCAAGTGCTAGCTGACCAAGTACATGAGCACCTCTTCCAGCAAACAGCACGGCTGCTACATTATTCTTGCTTTCAAGCGACTGTCATCACAACAGCCAGAGACTGGCTGCAATGAATATTGGTCTCAAAGCCAACAGACCGGCCTCAGAGTGCCGACTGGAAGAGGAAGGCATTATGCAAACGGAAACTTCTCTTCCAGCAGAATTGCTGTTTACCTTCATATTCTGGGGATTGTCTCCGAAGTGAATCAAGGGTTCTTAGCAAGATCCGAGGATGTCCGTTTTCAATCCTCCACATGGTCTCCCAACAGGGCGGGTGCTGGCAAGCCATCATGTTACAAACTGTCTCATCCCACCAGCTGGCGTCAACGGTCGCCATTCTGGCAGTGATGCGCTGGATTCAGGAAAGACAGGACAGGGCTGCATGGACAGAACAAAGCAAAGGGTGCTGCTTATATGCCATCATCCCACAGCATTTAAAGTAGCATTTTGGTGGTTTGCATTTTAATTATGCAGGCTATACATTCCCACCCCAGTGAGCTGGGTATTCAGTTTACAGACCTTTGAAGGATGGAGGGCTGAGTCAACTTCGAGCTGGCTACCTGGGACTGAACCTTGGTCTTGAGCAAGAGTTTTGACTGCAGTATTGCAGTTTAAGCACCGCGCCCTGAGACAAGAGACAACCTATGACATTTTCCTAGAGGCTGCCCTTATTATTCTTGCTCAAGTCACAGTTTAATCGCCACGGTTCTGACACGGACAGAAAGAAATCTGGACTTTTCTCCACCAGAGACATGTTACTGGTAATTGGCTTCTGAAGGACTCCTTAATGCCTTGGCAATGAAAATGGCAGGCAGTCACTATCATACCTGCAGTTTCACAGCCCAGCAGGTGGTTGGTTGCTTTTCGGGCGACCTGCTTTCTCCTGGCCTTTCCTGTTCTGAAAATATGACCTCACTGAGGAGACATTTTTGTTTAGACTCTCCCCCTTCCCTGCAAAACTCAAGGGATGATGATTACTAGCTAGAAAGGTCCCATCCTCAGGGAAGAGATGAGGGGGGGCACGCTGTGTTTTACTCTCGGAACAACTTGGTGGAAACACTGATTTACGGCTGTACGTTCATCTTCATCATGCTTTCGTTGACCACCTTTGAGGGGCCTTCCAGAATCCTTGGGATGAGCAAAACGAAATGTTTGTTTTTGAGAGGGTGGGATAGAAAGGACCAGAAGCACTGGCACTCTTTTGAGCAGATGGGGTGAGTGGGTTTTAAAAC